GCTTGCCGGACTGGCCCAGGAGAAAGCTAAGAGATGCTCAGAGCGTAGCAGCAAAAGCGTGTCGGAAAACCCAAGATTAAGCCAAGAGCGTAGCACCAAGAGCTTGTTCGAACTTCCAAGAGAAAATTAGCATAGCATTCAAGAGGCGACTGTCTCCAGAGCGTAGCGTCAAGGGCGTGCTGAAACGCCTCAGGTGAAGGCCAAGAGCCTAGCATCAAAAGAATTTTCAAAATCTCAAAGAGCAAGCCCAGAGGCTATAGCATCCAGAGCATTTCGTTTATTACTCTTCCCTTTCGTTTTGTCTTCCCTTCTGTTCCCTACGTCGCTCCTTTCGTTTTAACTTCTGCTCCGTTCATTACTTCCTCCCCATTGTTTCATCTTATTCGTTCACCTCTTTCTCTCATTTAAAGGCGTTCATTTCGCGAAGTCCGTCGTTTCGCTCAAATCTTCTGTCCTGTTCTTCCTGCTCTTCCTTTCCTGTCAACTCGTCCTTTTCACTTTTCATTGCGTCCGTCTATTGTTGCAACTCTTCCCTTCCATTCGTTGCTTCCTTCCTTTCGTTTCAACTCTTTGTAATCCCGTTCGCTGCTTCATTCGTTTCAACTCTTCCCTTCTGTTCCCTATACGTCGTTCCTTCCGCTTTAAATCGGTTTAACTCTTCCCTTCCGTTCGCTACTTCCTCCCCCTCGTTTCAACGCTTCCATCCTGTTCATTTACCTCTTCCTTTCATGTCAATGCGTTCATGTCGCTATTTCCTTCCTTTTTTCAAGTCTTACATGCGGTTTGTTTATTTCTTCCTTTTTTCCAAGTCGTTCATTTCGTTACCTCCTTCGTTATAGTCATCATGATCGGTGTTGGGGTCCATAAACCAACCCTTGAAACCGTGACCATGGTTCCGCCAGTTCCTGGACCTGGACCCAGTTCCTAACATGACAGGCCCTTGTAGGGAAAATATGCAAGTGAACCAAACAAAGACGTCCGTTATACGGTGAAAACCCACCATGGACAAAAAAAAAATCCCTAAGGGCCCTAAGGTTTGCCAAAATAAAAACAAGATGCATATATGACATGCATGTAGGCTTTGAGTGTATGCATGCTTTTCTCCCAAGTCGTTGGTGAAAAAGTCGTCTTCGGGGGGCCATTCGTCTTCGGGGAATTCGTCTTCGGAATTCGTCTTCGGGGGAAATTCGTCTTCGGGGGGCAATTCGTCTTCGGGGAATTCGTCTTCGCAATTCGTCTTCGGGGGGGAATTCGTCTTCGGGGGGCAATTCGTCTTCGGGGAATTCGTCTTCGCAATTCGTCTTCGGGGGGGGATTCGTCTTCGGGGGGCAATTCGTCTTCGGGGAATTCGTCTTCGCAATTCGTCTTCGGGGGGGAATTCGTCTTCGGGGGGCAATCATTCGGTCTTCGGGAGGGAGGGAATCGTCTTGCGTTCGCAATTCGTCTTCTGGGGTGGGAGGATCGTCTTCGGGGGGACAATTCGTCCCTTCGGGGAATTCGTTCTTGGAATCCGTCTCGGTGGGAAGTCGTCTTCGGCCTGGGCAATTCGTCGTCGGAATTACGTCTTCGGGGGGGGAATCGTCTTCGTCTCGGGGGGGCAATTCGTATTCGGGAATTCGTCTTCGCAATGCTTTCTCGGGGGGAAGTCGTTCTCGGGGGGCAATTAGTGCTTCGGGGAATGTCTTCGGAATTCGTCTTCGGGGGGAAATTCGTCTTCGGGAATTCGTCTTCGGAACTCGTCTTCGGGGGGGAATTCGTCTTCGGGCGGCAATTCGTCTTCGGGGAATTCGTCTTCGCAATTCGTCTTCGGGTGGGAAGTCGTCTTCGGGGAATTCGTCTTCGGGGAATTCGTCTTCGGAATCCGTCTTCGGGTGGGAAGTCGTCTTCGGGGGGCAATTCGTCTTCGGAATTCGTCTTCGGGGGGGAATTCGTCTTTGGGGGGCAATTCGTCTTCGGGGAATTCGTCTTCGGAATCCGTCTTCGGGTGGGGATTCGTCTTCCGGGGGGCAATTCGTCTTCGGGGAATTCGTCTTCGTAATTCGTCTTCGGAATTCGTCTGCGTCTGCGGGTGGAAATGTCTTACCCGCACAGCGGGCGCAATGTATATTAATATATTATAAGATTCATGGCCAGACTGGAATATTACAGGTATACTACAGGTATATTAAATGGTATATTAGAGGTGGATTAGATGGTATACTAAAGGTATATTAAAGGTATTTTCAAAGCAAACAAATGGTATATTAGAGGTAGATTCATGGTATATAAAATGGTATGCTAAAACCATATTAAATCATATAGTAATGGTATATGAAATGGAATATTAATGATTCTAACATGGTAAACTAAGTATAGATTGTATGTTTAAGGTTTATTAAAGGCAAACTAAATGGTAAGTCAAAGGTATTTGAGAGACAGTGGTATTTTCAAGGTCAATTGAATGGTATATGAAAGGTATATACCTTCAAGGTATACTAAAGGTGTAGTAAACGACAGTTTTAATAGTATTAATTAATGGTATATCAAATGGAATATTAACGGTTCTTCAATGGTAAGCTAGGTATAGATGGTACATTAAAGGTTTATTAAAGACAAATTAAATGGAAAATAAAAGGTATGCTAGTGGTAGAAAGGTATCCTAAAGGTATCCATGGCCAATAAAATGGTATATCTAATGCAGATTAAATAGTATTGTTATGTTTTATGCATTGAAGGTATATTTAAAGTATACTAAAGGTATTTTCAAGGCCAATTAAATTATATATTAAAAGTAGCTTCATCGTTATCCAATGGAATGCTACAGGTATATTGAATGGTATGTTAAAGTTTTTTTAGATGGTATTTAACAGGAGATATTGAAGGTATGCCAAAGGTTTAGTAAAGGTTTATTAAAGATATGTTTATGGTCAATTCACTGGTATATTAAAGTATATGGAATCTATAATGAAGATTTATTCATTGTAAATTTAAAAAATCGCTGATCAAGATATTATTCTTACTCTGTTGCATCAAAAACATAGACATATCCAAAATGTTAGAATCTGGTGTTTTGAAAGAAATACTGTATGATTGAAGGAAGGCTTAATATTAGTTTGAAAGGAAGACTTTACTTCTTCAGAAAAAAACAATCACTGCATGTTCAGAGGAATGCTCTATACTTTGTAGGGGTACTGTTTCTTGAACGAAGTCATACTTTGTCTGGAAGGAAAATTGCAGTTTATGAATGAAGTTGCCTTGTTTCAAGCATGGAAAGGAACGCTGTAATTTAAAACAGATTATGTACTTCCTTCAAGAAATGTTGTGCTTTCTGACCTGAGTATGTGCTCATCTTTTTTGAAAGTAATAGTGTACCTACTTTGTTTTTGCAAAAGGTTCCCAACAAATACTACCTCTTTGCAAATAGTACCTCTTTTGGTGGGGCCCTATCGCTATGCATGGTTTTGCAAAAAGAGGCAAGGAAGAGGAACGGAAGAGGAAAGGAAAAGGAAAGGGAAAAGGAAAAGGGAAAGGGAAAGGAAAATGATTGGGAAGAAGAAAAGAAAAGGAAGAGGAAAGGAAAAGGAAAGGAAGAGGAAAGGAAAAGGATTGGTAACAGGAATGGAAAAGGATTGGGAAGAGAAAAGGAAAAGAATTGGGAAGAAAAGAAAAGGAAAGGAGGAGGAGAAGAAGAGGAAAGGAAAAAGGAAAGGATCTATTTGTGGTCTGGTCTGGGGCTCCTTTTTGAACAAATGGGTATCGCTAAGGTATTGCTAGGGGTATCGCTAATTTAGCCGCTTGCATGTACGTAAGTTTGTGCAAAACAACTTCAGATGTGGACATTATGCACAATTATAGGTATCGCTTTTGGGGGGGCCTATCGTTACACAGTGTTTTGTGCATTTTCCAGACACCAGAGAACTCTCCTTACGCAACTAGTATACCAGAGTTTTGACCGTACCTCATATATATATATGAGAGAGAGTCATCGTGAAGCAGATACAATATGGTATTTTTGAAATCCTCACTAAAATGGGAGCAATATTGAACATTGCATATTCTAGGATTATATATAGATAGACACACAGGATATCAATATATATGCTAATCAGATAGGGGATACCATTTGTGTATATTACAGTAAGTAGTGAGATTTAGAAAGACATTCATGTCATGAGATAATTTCACCTACAATAAAAGCCGGCTTTTTCTCATAAAAATTTCGGGTCTTGAGACGGATCCGACAAAAAAATGATCTAAAAATGGGAAAAAAAACTGAAAATCACATGCTTCGTTGCTTCATCGTGGTTTTGGCATTCAAAAAATGTACCCTCTGGTTATGTCAAAATAGCTAGTGAAAATGGCCATTTATAGTGGATTTTCCCATGAAAAATGGTGGATCTTTCCATAGCTATGTTAAATTACCAGAGGGTAATCAGCATTTCAACTTGGGCTGTGCCAAACTTTCGGGTTTCTACGCCCAAAAAGGAGACTTGGAGATTGCTCAGGCGGATTTTTCAATGCTCAAGCTCGGCTTGGAGATGTAAGGCTTGGAGATGGTATCAAACGTGGCTTATTCTAAGTAGTGGATCCACAAATGGCTGGTTAATTATTGGTACCCTCTGGTGAACTAACTAACATAGCAATGGAAAATGGCTATTTATAGTGGATTTTCCCATTAAGAATGGTGATTTTCCATTGCTATGTTAGTTCACCAGAAGGTATCTTATGTCGACCATCGACATAAACCTCATGATATGGATACATGAATCATGTTCTCTGTTCATTATGCATAGAAAAACCTAGTCATAATTAATCCCACTCTGCCATGTGCCATGCTCAATTTAGATGGTATGTAGTATATAGTCATCCCACATGGATGGGATTCATTACCTGGGAATAAAGCATATACATTAGCTTCTATAAAAATGGATTGATGACTAGACTATCCCCATGATATGAAAAGATTTAAAAAAAAAAATGATTATAGTCAGTTGTATATTCCATTCAATCCCCATTCAAGTCCCATTAAATCACGAATAATAATAATTATTATGCAGAGTAATCATAATATTTATGTTTAACAATGATACTCCATACTCCATAGTGTGTAATCATCATGCATCATCCGATTACATCCATAATTCATCCATAGTTATAAAATCCATTGAAAATCATTATCCACTGATAATCCATGAGTTATGCCCATCTGGTTATGACTAACAGTTCGCCATGGAAAGATCCACCCATTTTTAGGTAAACCATCTATTTCTATGGGCCATCTATACCATGGCTATGTTAGTCATAACCAGAGGGTATATGCAGAGACTTCGAGATCCGATTCCAAAAGATTCCAAAGGAATTCCAAAGGTCTATGACTATGACATGACATTTTTTTGGTTAACCAACGTTACAAAAAACAAAACACCACCACATCCAGTCATCATCCACCCACCCCGGACGCCAGGTGGCCCCGGTGGCCCCGGTGGCCCCGGTGACGCCGCCAGCGCCGCCAGCGCCCTGTGCCACTGGGAGCTTTGTTCCTGCGCGAAGCTCAGGGCCACCATGGCCAAGGCATCCAGTTCCAAGCGCCTCCTAGATGCCGGGCTGCAGTGATCCATGGTATAAGCTATGATAAGCTATGATCATATAAGCTTTGATAATATATGATCGAAATATCGTTGATGATATGATATGATATGATATTAGATATTAGATATTAGATATGATATGATATTAGATATGATATGATATTAGATATGATATGATATTAATATTTAAGTATGGATCATGAAAAAACATGATATGTGGCGTGACCAGAAAGAATCCATCAGTCATAGTATGTCATAGTTGTGATGTAAATCATGATAGGAGGTTTTCAACCATCAATTCATCAGAAGTGGGTATGATATGAATCATGATATAAGATGTTCAATCATCAATCCATCAGTCGTACATGTGATATCGTGAAAACATGCGGATGTATGAGCAAAGAGAAGATGGTGATGTGTTTGAACAAATAGAAGATGGAATTGAATGATGGTGTGAGCAGTAGAAATAAATAATTACGATTCAGAGCGAAGGGGATGGAAGCGAGAAAGCCTTGGATACAATTCATCAAGCACAGATGCTGAGCAATGTTGAGCAACATGGGGATGAAAGCTATCATAGAGATATAGAGACCATGATCACCTACATGCGCAGCTATGGATCCTCAGAGTCCAGAAGAAAGAATCACGAAGGGGAATGCGTTGTTAGGGGCAGGGGATCTGGTTGGTGGTTGAGCCACCCCTCTGAAAAATGATGGAGTTCGTCAGTTGGGATTATATATCATTCCCAGTATATGGAAAGTCATAAAAGTCATGTTCCAAACCACCAACCAGTGATTATTAACCATTATTAACCATCATTAACCATCATTACCCCATACTAAACCAATGTTCCAGTCACCACCAACCAGGGAGGCTGGCAGGGCATTGTGCTATCACGTTCCGTTCGTCGACTTTCGACGGTCCAAGGAGTTGACGTAAAAAAAAAAATCCATGGGTCATCGTCGATGATTTTTGATGGCCGATGGCAAGGAAAACATGAAATTTTCGAGTTACCCTCTGGTAATTTAACGTAGCTATTAAAAATGGCCATAGAAATAGTGGATTCTCCCATTAAAAATGGTGATTTTCCATAGCTATGTAACAAATTACCAGAGGGTAAGATGATGGCAAGGATGATGCTGGATGTAGCAAGGAAAATCTCCGAAAAAAACATGATTTTTTTGCTACATCCACCAGCATCCACCGCACCCCATCCCAGCCAGAAACCATGTGGCAGGTAGGACTTCCAGGACTAAGCAGCAGCTCAGGGGACCAAATGTGAGTATTCCCAGGCGACCCAAATGTGAACCATCATAATGGAGGCTTCAATGAAATGGGATACCCTCTGGCAAACTAACATAACTATGGAAAATCACCATTTTCAATGGGAAAACTCACTATAAATGGCCATAATAGCTATGTTAAATTACCAGAGGATAATCATCTAAATGGGAGAATATTCCTCTCTTTGATTACCAGAGGGTAGTTTTGATCCATATGGAGGTACGGGGGCTTCAAAAACTGGTACTCGAAATCATCATAAAACATCCAAGTCATTAGACATATCCTGCTAAATCCCATTCAAGTCCCATTAATTAATATCCCATTACATCCCGTTAATATCCCATGAAATTCCCATTAACAGTCCCATTAAAGTCCCCTATTTTCATCTACCATCTGGTTATTTAACACTTCGCCATGGAAAATCACCATGCTATTAATAGGTAAACCATGGTAAACCATCTATTTCGATTAGGGCCATCTATACCATGGCTATGTTAGTCATAACCAGGTTGGGTATTTCCCACTTCTCTGGCAGCGTACCGTACCTCTCCATTCTCTCAGCCAGCTCTCGCGCCGTTGTCGCTTGGCCGCTGCGGCCCAGGGCTCGAAACACCGCCGTGAGCGTCACAGCGTTGGGCTGGATGCTTTGGGTGTCCATGTCCTGACATCAAATGAATGCTTCGGAAAACAGTAGATACATGCTTTGGTTAGGAAAATCATCTATATATATATATATACATAAAACCCCCCCCCAAAAAAAAAACTACTATGGTTTGTGGCCATTCTTGTCAATCTACAAATAATTGGAGTGGTTCCGATAGGAAAGATCTACAAGAAACTACCATGGTTTGTACCCAAATCTTGGGAGTTCCTGTAAAAGTGCTAAACAAATCCGGTCATGACTCTTCATGACATCAAGAAGTTAGATTTGGTGCTTATTATTGGAAGTTTTGCTGGGATCTTAATGTTGTTTTGAACCAAGAATAGGATAGAATAGGGTGTGACTGAGAATGGGGTATACCCATACACTTGTAATTGTAACTAATGATACCCTCTGGTAAGCAAACAGTTTGCTATTGAAAATGGCCACTTATAGTTGATTTACCCATAAAAAATGGCGATGTTCCACACTTTCACTGGCAGATTGTGTCCACTGTCCAAAAATAACTGGGACATGTCCTTTCTTTGCCATGTCTGTCACAGGCGAATTGCTCACAAAACTGATTGGCCAATGATCATATGATAGTTTGCGTGATCTTCATGAGGATACAACATGATACAACCACCAACACCGCAAATGATCATTAACGAAGTGATGGCAGGGCTCTTTCAATGCTGGTTGAAAAACACCGCTGGGTAGATTTCTATCGGTCAAATCATGTCTAAAGTGTTGGCCATATCCCCCTGTCTATGGCATTCATTAGTATCCACATGCCCATGTTTGCTGTTTCGAACACAATCATCTAGATAGGGGTCACTACTAGGGAACCCTAAACATGGATTCTTATTCACATGCCAACGTAGACGATACTAGCAAACTCTTGAGATGGAAACTACACTGTGCCAGCGTGAAACCACTCAGCTCCATTTGGCGGCCTTACGGTACCTGGTACCCATTTCTGATCTATGAGTTGTAGCAAATAAAAAAGCCAACTAAATGTCAAACAAAACAGAACAAATCGCAAAAAAATAAATAAATAAACCAAATGACCTGTATGGTCGTGTTTGAAAATGGGCTAGAACCCACCCAAATTGTTATTGCAATGTTGACAAAATGATTTTCTCAACCGGTGGGTGGAATGGGGTTCTAATTTTGAGAAACCCACACTAGATTCCCAACTCATGAGGTAAATTACCATGGTCACATCAATTACTAAGCCCAATCCTGCAGCCCTAAATATCATCATCACTCATCATCTTCTCCCTGAACAATTACATTTCCCGTTTTGGTTAATATCCTGGGGGGTGGATCCCCCACGATAAACCAAGTGACACCCCATCATCCTGAATCAGAATCATCCCACTTTTTTGTCATATCCCCTATCACTAGTGAGATTCCCGTTCCCAATGATCATTGGGATAAGAATCATGATTTTTCAACTATCAATATTTCCCCAGTGATTCTCAATGATTATGAGGATTATTAGATGATTATAAGAATCATTCGGATATCATTCTAATAATCCTCATAATCATTGAAACATTGAGATTCCGTGGCAATTCCGTTGTATGACTCTGTAGTCTCCGAGCAAAAATCATTGATGTCCCCAGTAATCATCCTACGAATCATCCCAACAGTCATCCCAATAGCCATCCCAATAATATGGGTACAACAATGATAAACCCATTTGGCAATGGTTTATACCACTAAAAATGCTGATGACTGGGGGATGGTGCAAATGGCATTGTTTTACCCACATTACATTGGATAGTACAACCACACATAACCATAAGTTATAACACCTTGTAACCATCTAATAATCATCCCTATAATCATTGATTTCCCCAATACCCTCTGGTAATTTAACATAGCTATTGAAAATTGCCATTTATAGTGGATTTTCCCATTAATAATGGTGATTTTCCATAGCTATGTTAAATTACCAGAGGGTAACTCTCCCAATAATCATTCTTTACCTTGTTCATGCGATTTGTAGCGTCCTGCAGGAGCCGCAAGCTCTTCTGCCACAAGGCGCTTTCTTCCAGACTTCGCGCCAGGCTGCTGAAGCACACCACGTCCTTCCCAGGAGAAATGCCGTGCTTTTGAAGTACTCCATGGCAAAAAACATCTGATGTTTGTGATGTTTATGATGTTTATGGTGATTTATGTATATTCATGTGGATTAGTTCGGAATTATTATATAGATAGCAAAGGATATGTGTATGTGGCTTTTACAATGCGTGTCTATGATGTTACATGCTTGGATATACTGTTCTATGAATATGTACAAGTGAAGGAAAGAAGAGAAACTAAAGCATGTATCTATGGCGTATCAACTGACCTTATTTCAAAACAATGATGAAACATCTCCAGGTATAGTAACTTTATAAATATCACAATATCCACAAATATTAATATAGACTCAAAATAGATGTTGATCATTCAACTCTGAATCTATTATATATATAATATACAATGATATACATCTATTATAGACACATATTTTATCTAAATTATCCTATGGATATTCATTTGATAACTGGATATGTATGGACCAGCGTAGTTCAGGATCACCTGGATGCACATTGAAAGCTAAAAAAAAAATCCCCGAAGTCCGGCAGAGTAGTTTTCCGGCTTGGCAGGGCCATCAGAGCATCATTTTGCCACCCAAAAACACGCTGGACATGCTCAGAATTGCTGGAATTGAGGATCAATTCCGGAAGAGACACATTCATATCACCATGAATATGCCCATGACGGATCCTAACTGTGCTGCTATATATGGTGCTCCATGGATCCCATCAACAAAAACCCCAGTCATGTTGCGTCATGTTAGCATATATCCCAGCACCATGGATCCATCATGGGATGAGTCAAACATAGTCAAACCATTCAAAGCACCATATTTTGGGGGTGCTTCTTCACATCCACAAATCCCAGGCATGGCTCCAGTGCCACCCGTGAATCCCTGCAGCGTTGTAGCAGCTGCACGGCTTTCTGCCAGTGCCGGGGCGCGTGGCGCCACAAACCCAGGGCCATGGTGGTGCTGTGCAAATGCCTCCGCCCGGCTCTAGCGGTTACCCGAAAGAGTCATTTCTTACATAGCGAAGTGGTATAGATGGCCCATGATGGGCCCATGATGGCCCATTTACTGATTTGCCAAGATTTACCACTTAAAATCGTGATTTTGCGTGAAACTATTGTGAAATTGCCAGAGAGAACCCTCAGAAATGTCACCTCAGAAGTAATGGAAAATCCGCCATTTACTTCGATGATCTTCCCGTAGTTTGTAAGGTCCTATTGAAAGTTGGGAATTTTCATACAGCAATGATAAATTACCGGCAGGTATACCAATGTATCCATCTAAATAGCCCAATAGAGCCGAACCTACAACCTCCAAAGGATTAAGCAGGTTTTCAGATGCGTAATAAATAAAATTACTTTACTTCGTGTGATCCCCACCATGACATTTATACATTTTCTTGCTGGCAAATCTTCTGGCATTCTATCTGACATATCTTCTGACATTCTATTTGGCATTCTATCGGCATATCTTCTGGCATATGATCTGGCATATCTTCTGGCATTCTATCTGGCAAATCTTCTGGCATTCTATCTGGCATATCTTCTGGCATATATTCTGACATATCTTCTGGCATTCTATCTGACATATCTTCTGGCATATATTCTGACATATCTTCTGGCATATCTTCTGGCATATCTTCTGGCATATCTTCTGGCATATCTAGCTGGCATATCTTCTGGCATATTTTCTGGCATTCTATCTGGCAAATCTTCTGGCATTCTATCTGGCATTCTATCTGGCATATCTTCTGGCATATTATCTGGCATTCTATCTGGCATTCTTTCTGGCATTCTATCTGGCATTCTATCTGACATATTTTCTGACATTCTATTTGGCATTCTATCTGGCATATCTTCTGGCATATGATCTGGCATATCTTCTGGCATTCTATCTGGCAAATCTTCTGGCTGGCATTCTATCTGGCATATCTTCTGGCACTCTATCTGACATATCTTCTGGCATTCTATCTCTATCTGGCATATATTCTGGCATATCTTCTGGCATATATTCTGCATATCTTCGGCATATTCTGCTATCTTCTGGCATATCTTCTGGCATATTTCTCTATCTGGCATTCTTCTGGCAAATCTATCTGGCATTCTATCTGGCATATTATCTGGCATTCTATCTGGCATCTTCTGGCTATCTTCTGACATATCTTCTGACATCTATTTGGCATATCTGCATATCTTCTCTTCTATTTGGCATTCTATCTTATCTTCTGGCATATCTATCTGGCATTCTATCTGGCATATCTTCTGGCATATATCTGACATATCTTCTGGCATTCTATCTGGCATTCTATCTGGCATATCTTCTGGCATATATTCTGACATATCTTCTGGCATTCTATCTGGCATTCTATCTGGCCATTCTATCTGGCATATCTTCTGGCATATCTTCTGACATTCTTTCTGACATTCTTTCTAACTTTCTTCTGCACATTCTTTGTCCCATATCTTCCGACATGAGGTCCGGCAGAACACTTGGCGTGGATACTCGCGGTTGAGGTCCGGCAGGGAACACTGGGCGTGGATGGTCGTGGTTGAGGTCCGGCAGGGAACACTGGGCGTGGATGGTCGTGGTGAGGTCCGGCAGAGAACACTGTGGATCGCGAGTCGCAGTTGAGCAGGAGGACGAGGAGGACAACGAGACGAGGAGGACAACGAGAGGAGGAGGACAACGAGAGGAGGAGGACGACGAGAGGAGGAGGAGAGGAGGAGGAGCAGGCAACTTAGATAAAATCTAACAACCCTCACCTGGCAGGTGGGGAACCATTCGACTGGAGTGATATATGCACCAGAAGTCCAAGCTAGTGCAATTATGTGTCAACTTGTCTTGGAGGCCTCACATTGTTGGGGTATTAAAATGGATATACCATGATATACCTCAGTAATTAAAAGCAATTACAGAATACAGTTTATCAAGATATTGGATTATCAAACCAAGCATCTTGTGGAGACATTCTCTGGCATATAGAAGCTATGGATATTTTACCAACGTTATGATATCTGGCTTTGTCTCGTGATTCAATATGGGCATGGGCCCTTTTTTTATGGCCCCAATTCCTGAATTTCGTGATGCCACATATATTGATGGCTCATAATGGCTCTATTATCGCGACTGACCAGTACGAGCTCTGTGGAATGATCAAGGTACATGCCGTTGCGCCGCTCTGCGGCTTCTAAGAGTAGCAAGGCCTCACAAAGGCACGGCCCTTGTGAAGATGCGAAAAGGAGGGGATTTTGGTAAGTTCACCCGGATACCATCTCATGATCTCAGCCAATTCTTGGGGTGTTCCAATCGTCTTCCTGGTTACTTAAGGCGAAAACCACAAGTCCCAAAAATGGTTGAACGGAAAATTGAAACTGGAAAGCCTTACTGGAAAGCCCTATATTTGGGGCATAAGAAACACATTCGAATGATTTCCAGTTTCACATTTTTTCCTTAACCAACCCATTGACCATGGTATTTTTCAATGTTTTTCAATGTTTTTCATATCCCCATCAAATCCCCATCAAATCTCCATGAAAACTCTCCCAGTGTTTCAAGCCTCTTGCCATTTGGAGCGTCGGGCCAAGGACGCTACGGCTGCTATGTGGCCTGTGGCCATGCCATGGGAGTCGCGTGGCCGGCGTGGCCGGCGGCGTTCCCGTTCCGCCAATCCAAGACCGGGCCAAGATGGCGCTGCAGGACATGGAGGCATCAAAATTCGTATATCATCGGGATGTTTTTGTTGGGATATGTGTATAATCTATTATAATCTTATTATAATCTTATTATATATAGATTGATATCCAATCAAGTAATTATATCTCATACAGTCTATAATATATATATATAGAGAATACAGTATGTAACCAAGAATATGGCATGGGCACCTTTTTGGCCCTAGAGCATCAACCTGAAACCATGGACACATGACCCAACATGACCCAGCAAAGAGCTGGGCCTTGGATGGGCCTCTGCGGGGCAGGAACGAAAGTTGTCGGACTCAGTCAGTCCTTAACACTCATCCTCTTCTTCAACTTCGGGTTGTGCTGGTCCTGTGATCAAGGCAGCGACGCTTGTTCACTTGATTTCACTTGTTCCGGATCTCTTTCGTACAAAACGCCGTTCTGTTCCAGGATTGGTAGTCTTCAATGGGATTACCAAGAAACATCCACAGATCTTCACGGTTTTATTTGTTTTTTTTGGAAGTATGGTTCCTAAAATAGGGGTCCCCCCAAATCCTCCAAATTAGATCATGATAGGATTGAAACCCATAGTTTTGGGGATCCCCTATGTTTTTCGCACAATCGAACTGAGACTTTGGCCGAGTTCAACAGTATCACACCTTGGCGTTGAGACAAACGAATGATGAAGTCACGGGTTGCTGAACCAAAATCATTGATGTGGAGTACCCTCTGGTCATCTAACCTGGCGGCTTGGAAATTCCCAAACTAAATGGAGGTTTATAGCATTTTATAGCTGGGAAAATATGGAAAACCAATGGAAAACCATTGTCACATTTGACTACCCGGAGGGTAATTCTCTGATGGGTACAGTGCATGGGTTCGGCCAAGTGCAGAGCACTTGGTGTCTTGAGACGAAGTCCATTTTCGCAAAGTCGCAAAGTATCACAGCTTCATCTGTACAGCTCTCTTGGCCAAAGACATTCATAACATGCTATAACATCTTCATAACCATCCAGAAGAGACATAAATATACATAATTCATTTATCAACTCTGCAGATTTCTGCGAAGCCAAGAGAGGAAAGCCTCAAGCTGAATTCCTGAGCGGAAACTGACCACCGAGGGTACCCATCTGCAGTTTCATGGGCATCATCTCCGGGTTGCTACGGGTATATATGGGTATATTGTCATGTTTAGTATCTGCAGATGGTCACAAAGCACCAAAGATGACCAAAGATGACCAACTTGGGACATCCTTCACCTTGCTTTGAAACCAATTTGCCCATTTCTGAAGATGGCTTCCCCGTGGTCTCGAATGAATCAGCTATGAACAGGGTTGCCGGACGCCGAGTTTTTGCGGGGATCGCGCCCGCTCAAATGGTGACCATGGCTGAATTTTCACAGAAACACTGAAGGATCAGAAGGATCCAAGGCCCATCATCTTATATCAAAAGCTCACTGAAAGTATCTAATCAAGATGCACACTAGACATCACGAGACAATGTTAGTAATTATATAGCGTTTTTATACAGTAAACAACTGGGCCTTGGTGGACTTGGCCCCAGTTGCAACTTCAAATGTATTGAAACTGTGCCAAGGCTTCAAGGGGGCGCGCGTGAGCGGTCGCGCACGTGCACCAATGCCCAATGCAGGGCTGGACATATACAATTATGCCGTTTGGGAGTTAGTCACTGCAGAAGGTGTGTCATTATAATGATCAAAGGATATCAAGGCTTTTTTCACAACAACGTAACGGTAAGCTGAATCTGGTAAGCTGTTTCACCCGATCTCATACTTAGTCGGTTCCCAGACTTATCTGACTGAGGTCATTTGAGGAAGCCAGAACTTCATCTGTCAGTCACTTCCCTCTGGCATGCCCTGCAGGCGTCTGTCGTGGTCACTGTTGAGACCTTAAACCGATTCGCAAGCTGCCCGCCGTCAGAAACCCGGCGGGAGTGTGGCTTTTCTCTGTGCCTTCAGCGTCAAGATTTTTGAGCAAAACATCAAATGGTATCATCATCTGCCGAGAAATTTGGAACAACCATGAAAATCGACAAACGGATTGTCACAGCGTTATACATTTGCATACCATGAACTCAGGTTGGTTGGGAGTTGCCAATTGAAATTCGATAGGAACCTTTGGACGGCTGCGTTGCCCTTCGGCAAGTCCTTCAGTGCAGACAGCATCGGACAGCACGAATGCCCATGCCATGGGTCAACAGCAAATCCCGCAGACCTCCGAAAGAATTTCAGCAGCAGAAATTGAAGGAACTTGTCCGTCAACATGAGACTCAACTCGGCTCACTTTTGAAGATTGCATTAAGAAATTGACTCATTAACAGCAGTAACTTCAATACCTCATGTGTTTTCAATCACAAGACGGAATTTTGCCCAAATGGTTCCACATGGAATGATTTAGGTAAAATCATAGACTCTATTCAACATCCTTTTCTTGGAGTTCCTGATACTTCCGCTGGGCGGCACCAATAAACTAGAGTCTTGAGTCGAAGGCCTGATAGTCCCATGAAACTATAAACAACAATTGATGAATGACCCTAGCTTTCCATAGTTTTCTCATCCCCCTTGCAATTCGGGCTCCGACCCTGACCCCTGAATCTTTAAGGGACCACTGGTAGCCTCTTAAAGAATGCGAACCAGGGCAAATTTCAGCCTTAAAGAATCTAACCCCAATGAACCAAGATTGCACACAGTAGCCAAGGTATGTCCCTTTAAAGGATTGGAGACCCAAGTTGCACACGAAGGGGTGCCCCTTTAAAGAATTGGATACCCAAGTTGCAGTCGAATGGACGACGGCGCAGTCAAGCATCATCAATAAGATGCGCATGCAATCATATGAGAACATATAGACTTATTTATGTGTGTCCATATTAGGATTATTATAATTCATTAGGCATTTTTAGGTGAATTTTGAAAGCACATTTTTAACATTCTTCAACTCTGGAAGGTGTTTTAACACAAATTCTTGCATTTACAATTCTCCTTGGAATTATCCTGCTCACATGGACTCCAGCATTCTTTAGACAAACAACGGAGGTCCACCTTGCACTACTGAAATGGCACATCTAAAGAATGCCTACCTAGGATGCAAGGGGCCTAAGACCATCTAAGAAATCATGGCCCAGGCAACCAACTACAACAAATACAAAAAATACACAAAAAACAAATACAAAAGTAAACCTCTAAAATATTGGGCGTCCGTGTTAGCCATGTGGACATCAACAAGCATAAAAAACACCAAACGTACCCAAATGATTCCTTTGCACACCGGAGATGAAATTTGCCCTTCTTTTGCCCATGCCAGATTAGCGGCTTCTGTTTTTGTCATGGCAGAAGCTTCTGCCAAAGCGTTGTCTTTGGCTGCCTCCTCTTGTTTCATTTTTCTGGTTTGATCAAAATTGATTGTAAACAACATATCCCCCTTTGTTTTCAGTCTTTGACCCGGGTGTCCGGTTCTTTGGTGGAGGGTGCCATTAAAGAATGAAATCCTGCCTCCGGACACAATGAGTTTTGATGGATCTTCTAAAGACAACTAGTGTTATGCCTGGGGGTCTTGGGGATTTCCTGGGGACGTCTGGATATGAGACGTGGGCTGGGTTCGAGCTGGTGTTTTGAGTCTTTAGAGGCTCAGGCTGTCGACCCTACAACTTGGGATATTTTGGGGAGGGTGCCACAAAAAAGAATCAGGTCCTGCCTCCCGACACAGGGAAGGGTGTCCTTAAAGAATCAGGTCCTGCCAAAACACTGTTTTTTTCGAGCTGTTCTTTTGATTCTTTAGAGGCTCAGGGCGTGTCGACCCTGCAAAACCTGGCAATTTTTCACAGTTTGGGGTATTTTTTGGGAGGGTGCCATTAAAAAATAAGGTCCTACCTCCGGACACAGTGGGTTTCGATGGATCTTCTAGAGACAATTGGTGTTATGCCTGGGGATCTTGGGGATTTCCTGGGGGCGTCTGGATATGAGACTTGGACTGGGTTCGAGCTGGCGTTTTGATTCTTTAGAGGCTCAGGCCTGTCGACCCTACAACTTGGGATATTTTGAGGGGGGTGCCACTAAAGAATCAGGTCCTGCCTTCCGACACAGGGAAGGGTGTCCTTAAAGAATCAGGTCCTGCCAAAACACTATTTTTTTTAAACTGGTGTTTTGATTCTTTAGAGGCTCAGGGCGTGTCGGCCCTGCAAAACCAGGCAGTTTTTCACAGTTTAGGGTATTTTTTGGGAGGGTGCCATTAAAAAATAAGGTCCTACCTCCGGACACAGTGGGTTTCGATGGATCTTCTAGAGACAATTGGTGTTATGCCTGGGGATCTTGGGGATTTCCTGGGGACGTCTGGATATGAGACCTGGACTGGGTTCGAGCTGGTGTTTTGATTCTTTAGAGGCTCAGGCCTGTCGACCCTACAACTTGGGATATTTTGGGGAGGGTGCCACAAAAAGAATCAGGTCCTGCCTCCCGACACAGGGAAGGGTATCCTTAAAGAATCAGGTCCTGCCAAAACACTGTTTTTTTCTGAGCTGGTGTTTTGATTCTTTGGAGGCTCAGGGCGTGTCGACCCTGCAAAACCTGGCAGTTTTTCACAGTTTGGGGTATTTTTTGGGAGGGTGCCATTAAAAAATAAGGTCCTACCTCCGGACACAGTGGGTTTCGATGGATCTTCTAGAGACAATTGGTGTTATGCCTGGGGATCTTGGGGATTTCCGGGGACGTCTGGATATGAGAACTGGACTGGGTTCGAGCTGGTGTCTGATTCTTTAGAGCTATACCCTGCAAAACGATAAACATATTTATTTGTATGAATCAATATATGCAATTTGCTGCTTTTATCATATCTAGTCTCAGTTTGGTTGCGTTTATTGAGCCATGTTTTGGCCAGCACTTTCAACATTGACAAACTCAACTTAGGGTTTCAAATTAAATCTCTAAAGAATCAAGGGGGAACTGATAACCCGGGTTGACTTATGTTTTAGCCAGGGAAAATTCCAAGAGGGATAACACCATATGATTTTCAAACGCTCTGTTTTCAAACGCTCATAAATGTGCAATAGTCCGGCGTCCCTAAAGAATGTCCTTGTTGAAAAATCAGTTGAAATGTGTTGTCAATGTTGAAACTTGTTTGGCTCATCTGCGATACAAACGATGGCCGGCGCACAACAGCAGTTTTAGCAACTCGCAAAAATTCAAAGAGCTTGTCTATTGCTCCTCAAAACGCTCTCTCTAAAAAATCATGACCTAGGAAACCTTTGCAAAAAATGGGGACTCCGGGTTAGCCATGTGGAAAAATCATCTGTTTTTGCATTTAAAAAAAAAAAAAACGTTTTTTGCGACAACCCGGGTTGTTGCATTTTTAAAGTGGAAATTCCAAGGGGGATCATTTACATGCATTCACTCATCACGTTTTCATCCTCCATCTCACCTTCACGTCTTCTGCTTGTGAGCATCTGTTCAAGCGGCAGGCAAGCTGGTTTTCATTTGACACACAATCCCAAAAACATTGATGAACATACCAAAAAAAATCCAAAAAACAAGTTCCTAGAATCTTCCTAGGAAGACCTCTTAAAGAATAGGAGACCGTTAAAAACAGTATATATCTTAAAAAATGAAACTGTTTTTTTTGGCCGGCCAGGTATGTCCCTTAAAAAATACAGTTTTTTAAAGACATCATGTCCTGAACTCTTTAGGCTAAATTCCCAGGAGGATGTTTTCTCATAGAATTGCGCAGAAAACATCTGGCAACCAATGCACATGTGTAAAGTGTACAGAAATTGCTGTTTTGAGCCAAATTAGTGTCTGAGAAGCTATGTTTACATATTTTTACCACAAATGTGTGGTATAAACCATCAAAATATGGATGGCCATGGATGGTGTATTATTATTTTGCTAACACTATTCAACTTTCACCCCTTCGAAGGTCTGTTGCATGCCGATTCTTTCGCCCTCTAATCATCTGGTCATCTCAGGTCTGCTTCTGCTGCGCACGACGCCGTGTGCTGGTACACAACAACCATGGCGGTGCCACGCATGGCTTGACTTGTGGCATGGGTCCTGCGGGGGATGAATGGATTGAGGAGGCGGCGGAATGGACTTCCGTACTGCCTGGCTCTGAATCATAGAGCTCTTCCCAATCCTCGCAGCCACAGCCCTTGCCCTTCTCGGAGTCCGATTTCTCAGGTTCCGGAGTCGCCGTTGTTGGGGAGATCTTCACATCCGTCACATCATTCACATCCGAAGGTGGTACCCACTTGGAAACCGGTGCCGCTGGTGCCGGTTCTGCCGGTGGCGCATAGGCCTGGTAGTATGGAAATGATTGGTACTGATAGGGTGTGTATGCCTGGTATGAAAAGGCATCATAGTTCCCAATGTTCCCATAGGAATTCCCATAGGAATTCACCGGATGTTGCCACATCTCCCAGGGGGTCGCATTGGGATTGGGCTGCCAGGTGGTCTGTTGTGGCACCGGCGCCTGTGGCGCCTCGGAGCGCGGCGCTGGCATCACCACCGGGCTGGGCGTTGGATCGTCCATCGCAGGCGTTGGATCGTCGGGTGCCGTGTCCTTCTTCTTGCGGATGCGCACGGCGGAGGCTTGGTGCACCACGGGAGGCTTCTCTTTCTCCTCAACAGCCATAAGAAATAGCCATGGAAGCCATAGTCCATAGAAATAGATGGTTTCCCGAACTTAAAAATGGTGATTTTCCATGGCGAACTGTTAAATAACCAGAGGGTACTTATAAGATCTTATAAGACTGTTATAAGTATACCCAAACAACAATAAAATCAATAAATTTAAGATTGAGAGATCGACAAATCTAACTACTATATCCGCCGACCCCAATGGCAGGGGGAGCGCGTGTCAGGAGCAGCGCTACTTTAATATACACACGCTTCATCCATTTATGGCTAAAACATATCACAACCTAAGTCCCACCGTACTTGGCTCCCAGTTCTCCTGGTGTTTCTTGGCTTTGCGGCCCTTCTTCTTGGGGCACAGATCTTCCCAGGACTCGACCACCTCAGCCATGATGCACCGCACCGCCCCGGTCCCTTGCGCAGCAGAGACTCCCGGGGGGGCACCCCGCGACCGTCGATGACCGTCGCACCGAGCTCTTGAACCGAGTCTTCAGCCAGGGTCAGTCGTCAGCACGGAGTGGCAGTGGGGCAGTGGCATCCTGCAGTTTATAGCTATCAAAAATACTTAAGATATCATCCAGATATTGTCAAAATGGCTATCAAAAAATATCAATTACTTTACTTCGTGTGATCCCCACCATGACATTTATACATTTTCTTACTGGCAAATCTTCTGGCATTCTATCTGACATATCTTCTGACATTCTATTTGGCATTCTATCTGGCATATCTTCTGGCATATGATCTGGCATATCTTCTGGCAAATCTTCTGGCATTCTATCTGGCATATCTTCTGGCACTCTATCTGACATATCTTCTGGCATTCAATCTGGCATTCTATCTGGCATATCTTCTGGCATATATTCTGACATATCTTCTGGCATTCTATCTGACATTTCTTCTGGCATATATTCTGACATATCTTCTGGCATATCTTCTGGCATATCTTCTGGCATATCTTCTGACATATCTATCTGGCATATCTTCTGGCATATTTTCTGGCATTCTATCTGGCAAATCTTCTGGCATTCTATCTGGCATATCTTCTGGCATATTATCTGGCATTCTATCTGGCATATCTTCTGGCATATATTCTGACATATCTTCTGCATTCTATCTGGCATTCTATTTGGCATTCTATCTGGCATATCTTCTGGCATATCTTCTGACATTCTTTCTGACATTCTTTCTAACTTTCTTCTGCACATTCTTTGTCCCATATCTTCCTACATGAGGTCTGGCAGGGAACACTTGGCGTGGATACTCGCGGTTGAGGTCCGGCAGGGAACACTGGGTGTGGATGGTCGTGGTTGAGGTCCGGCAGGGAACACTTGGCATGGATCCTCGCGGTTGAGGTCCGGCAGGGAACACTGGGCGTGGATGGTCGTGGTTCAGGTCCGGCAGGGAACACTGGGCCCGGATACTCGCGGTTGAGGTCCGGCAGGGAACACTGGGCGTGGATGATCGTGGTTGAGGTCCGGCAGGGCACACTGGGCGTGGATGGTCGTGGTTGAGGTCCGACAGAGAACACTGTGGATCGCGGGTCGCAGTTGGACGAGGAGGACGACGAGGAGGACGACGAGGAGGACGACGAGGAGGAGGAGAGGAGATGAGGAGAGGAGAGGAGAGGAGAGGAGGAGCAGGCAACTGACATAAAATCTAACAACCCTCACCTGGCAGGTGGGGAAATAGATCAACTCCCGTTTCATGTGCGAGCAGACTCACACCCTGGGCGTTTTTTTTAAAGGACAAGTGGCTGAATGCAAATGTGTAGGCAGCATCTGGATGTTTCAAATATCCAGCTCCCTGGCGACGGCCACTGGTCGGATCCATGCAGGTCGTTTGGGGAATGAATTGTTCTATGAATGAAAAAATGATCATGTCATGTCATGTCATGTCATGTCATTTCTCTTCTGCTCTTTCAAAACCTTAGGGATCCGGAATTTTCAAAACCGGAATGTCGGGAATCTAAGCTGAATCCTGAAGTCTTGCTGCACCTTAGTCATGCTACCAGAGGTGATACTGCACCAGTGGACTGCCTCCTTCCCAGAACTTCTGCAATGCTCAACGTGTTTGTGGTAGTAGGCATGGGCCTCAATTCAGCAGGTCGCACGGATCAAAAAGATTGGCCCAGATCTGTGAAAAGATATTCACCCAATATTTGGTGTATTTTAGTATGTAGCCATGAAGATTATGTAAGCCATATGGAAAAAAACGCCATGAATGACCCATGTTTCAGTTATTGTGGCGATCCGACTGGCTGTGTTCAATGTTGTTAGTGGTTGCTCTTATTAATTATTGCTTTAGCTGTTGCGGTACCAAAACTAGATATTGCTGTCACACTGTAGCAACCATGTGTGATGTCCTTTGGGAGTACCCTTACTGACCAACCTTGGACCATGTTGAATATGAGAAGCCTTTATGACGGGAGACCAAGCACGTAGTCACTCCGAGAGACACCATATTGAGACATCCTGAAACTATTCATGTCTTGGTTGGTTGCGCCCGACCTCAAAAACAAGATAATGTAAAGGAACACCGGCATGGCCCATGTCCATGTTTGGTTTCCGAAGGATACTTCAATAGTGGCTTGATCTCGTGATATTAGTGTTCCCAGCTAGGTTCACAAGCCACCCTCTAAAAACCACACCCAACCATCATGTCCGTACCGTTTTGGTGCTTCAACATCTGCTCAAAAGTGCTCATGGTTTAGATTCTGATGATGTTTAAGTTATTTTAAATTCATCCCATCATCCACCAATCATCCACCAATCACCAATCCTTTCTGGATGTCCAGATGGGTATGGATCAATACCTATTACCATTTTTAGGGGAATGAACATCAATTTACCAGCTATTTTGATGTGAACTACAGGGGTACAAGGTTTTGACACACTGCCAGATTCTTTGCCACTTGGCTCCAGGCGAAGACGCGGAGGATGCGGTCGATTTGCTGTGCTTCCTTCGGAAGCAAAAAGGCCTAGCCGTTCGCCGCCGGAGAATCGCAGCGCGGCTCGCCACGGAGCAGCACTGCACCCACTGTCAACAAACATGGAGATGTACTTCAGCACCAACAAAACAGGCAAACATATGATATGGATTAATATGGACTATGGATTCGATGTGATTTATATTGATTTATATTGACACACATATTGGTACATAGAAAGACATGATTTAATCCCTTCCCCCCATAAAACACATCACCAGAAACCCTGCCATAGTGTGTCCTTAGTCCTTTGCCCTCGGACACCCCGTTGCCATCATTTCCACCACCCCATCCCTTTGTGTGTCTGAAAATGGTGGATTTATCATGATTGATCTCCGATTTATGGCCACTTTAATAGGAAAAGTTATTTCCTGAAGCATCAAAGTTGTGTTTATCCATGGTTCTTTCCCCTAAAAATTCAGCTCCAAAACCACCGGAAACCCGGTACTGGGTGCTGCCTCCAGAAAACTCCGCAATGCCTTTTCGATGTCTGCTGCACCCCAATCAAAGCTCTCAGACTCAGCGCTGGTCCAATGTGAAGCGAACACAGCTCAGAAAAGAGTAGTGAAAGTGTATGAATTACATGTATGATGTGTGTGTGTGTGTGCATGTATATGATCATATATCCATATAGAATATGTAAATATGATATACATATATCATATATGTGATTATATTTGCATATGATAATCTAATGATCTACATACATCATCATGCATCTACATCTAGACAACAGGGTCAATTTTAATGGGTTCCTAAGATCATGAATGGCTGGGTCTTCACATCGTTTGGCTCAACGTTTAGCTGCAGATTCAAAATCTTGATACCCTCTGGGAAACATACAAAAAACTATGGAAAATCACCATTTGTTATGGGTAAATCAACTATTTCGACTGGGCCATTTTCAATAGCAAACTGTTAGTTTAACAGAGGGTAACCCTTTTAAAACCCACCCATTCTGTTGGAGCTCAGCAAAGCTCGTGATATCGAGCCCGCGGTCAAAAGTCGTCACGGCCTTTTCACTGTCCTGGCGCGGCGCCGTCAGCTGGCCGCTACCGCATCTAGAGTGGATATTAAAAAAAGGTCATCAATGGTTTGTAATCGATATCCAGCAACTTTAGCAACCTAAGGAGAACTATCTGGGTAAATCATAATATTTCACTAACCTGAATTAAGGCCATTTTGGGATGATTCCCCTTATTAACCATGATTCCAGTGAGGTCGCAGTTAGGCCGTTATAATTTACCCAGAACTACAGATTCAATTTCTTCAGCCATTTTCCAATTACTTATTCAATAACTTGACAAAAAATCCATGCGATCCAATGCCCGATGCGCCTCCTTGGGCTGACCGAAGAACTCGCCCACAGCGCTGTAGGGCACCTTGCCGTCCAATTTGAAACTGGCCATTTCATATGGAAAATGTATGGGAAACCTGGGAAATGATGAAAAATGACGTGAAATGACATACTCAAACCACTGGAAAACTTTTGGGTACATGATTTTCAACATGTAATACAATGTAATATATTGAAGTTTTGGTTGCGTGAGGCCTCAAAACGAAGACGGAAAAACCACTATATAGATCCACACGAATTGTCAACCACTGGTACAAAACTTCTGTCACTATTGTTGGCAAATGGACATAATATAGTTTGGAAAACGATGTTTTAGACATCTTCAAACCAATGTTTTGTTTGGTAGGTACATGATTTTCAAACAAAGTCATGGAAGGGGGGAGATATTTTCAAACAAGTGCTACCAATTTTTTGCGCTGTTGGAATCGCTAAGTCCATAAGGCATCCGGATGTAACATCGGGGATGAAACCCATGATGAGGCCCAAAAACTCAGCCCCGGATAGGCCCCGGATAGGGTCCCATGCCAGGAAGTGAACTGTGCGGAAGAGCCAAATCAGTTTGAAGACCTCGCGGCTGTTCAATTTTTTGCATAGCCCTGGAATACCCAGGCCATGGGGCACCCAAACATCTAGGGCGGACGACATCAGAGGCTTTGAATGGACATGAATGGACTCTCACCCACCCAAGAACCCATACGGCACTGTGGCAGAGTCTGAGTTCCACTCCCACTCTTCGCTG